CTCAGTTTGTTTCGTGCACCAGTCCTTTTTTTCTGACACAAATGGGAACAGTTCTTTAATATCATTTCATGTCAGGTTTCCCATTTATCTCCTGGACTCTCCTTAAGCAGGAAAGCCAGCTATGGGGATTACTCCAAATTTACCTGTACTTCAGACGAGTTGATGGAAACCTATGTGGACCTAACCACTTGTAATGTTCACATTATTCTTGCACATTAGTTAGAATGAAAGGAAGGCACTGGCTTAAATTGTCATCCAATAAACTATACGACTGAGTGAGCTCCCACTCCTGCTCACAGCATGCCAGCTACTAAGCTACATTTCTTTCACCTGTAGAGGTAAAATTGCACTTTTAAAACATCTTTCTACAACACTTTGGGGGTACACAATCCACCTGATTTGCTGGGATGATTTCTGCTTGATTCTAGATGGTGAGTGCACCAGGGTTCACTGCTAAGCTTCACAGGAGAGTGTTTGCTCTCCTGTGATCATTGCTCCTTGATGGTTCCTACCATGGTGCCTGCAAGGAGCTACAAAAGGGCCCAGAATACCTGCATTCAGCTTTCAACCATGTCAGGATAACAGGAACTGTCCTGCCGGCAGGCAATGGGAGTTCCAGTTGGCTGCAACACAGTTTACTGTGTGGTAAGGGGAGAGGCCATTTTCTGGGTGATCAGAGAAACACTGGGTGAAAGAAGTGTACATTCACAACTCCTTTGTTTAAAGGAAACATCTGTTGTTAAGAGGCTCTTTTCCAGGAGTCAACAAAAGAACACAAAAATTAAAAGAACCACTTTCACCTTTTTTTTCTTTCATGTTAACATGAAGGTCCCACTCACCCACAGAGCATCAGTTTTACTAATTAATCTGTATTCAAGCAGCAAACTGAATCAGGTCTTAGTCGAATCTGATTCATATGTTGCAAGAAAGCAGAGCAAAGTGTCCTCACTATTGTTTGCCCTAAAATCCCAAAGCCTGAATATAGATGTTGATTTTTTCAAGGGACAAAAGAATACCTTGCAGAAGCTCTCAGCTAAACAGCCAAAGGACCATAGAATAATAAAACTCAATAATACTTTATCAGACTGACCAGTGGAACTATTAAAGCACAGTACCTCTTCGATCCAACATGCAGAGCAAATCCAGGAGAGCACTGTGGTTGATGGTACCCAAAGCTAATGGTATGTTGAGCTGATGTGATATCAAGTAAAATAAGAGGGTTGCATTTCTCTCTCTCTCTCTCTCTCTCTCTCTTTCCACACCCACACACACACACAAAACACTTGCTCAACCTCTCTCTCATCACCCCTTCCGCATAAAAGTTTGCCATCATGGTGACCAAGGTAGAGTCAGTCCTATAATCAAGCCAGAACTCTGAAAAAAGCAAGTTGAGAGAATCTTGCAAAGATATCTGCAGGTGACTTTATATCACCCACAGAACCAAAATGTGGTATTAGAAACAGGGCATTATAACAGAGTCCAGAGTAGGTATCTTAAAAATGTTTGCTTTGATATTGTCACTCTCCCCCCCCCCCAAATGTAAGGATGTATTTAACATGATGGGGACCCAGCCACTCGTACCCTCCCAGCTAGCATCTATGAGTTGGGAAAGCAAAGATAGACAGCACACATGTTTCGTTACATCACTGCAAGCATCTTATCCATCTTATGAGATCATGATAGCTGAAAGAAATGCCTCAAGGCCCAAGCACATGGAAACATTAGACACAAACCGGATTTGGTTGAAGACATGGTGCACAGAAGGCCAGTTTTATCCCTGAAATGTTCTCCCAAAATATCATAGATTCTGAACAGCGTAGGAGTCCCTTGCAGAAGACAATGTTAAAAACCCAAACCATTCAAAATAATTATGTTAGATGGCTGTTTGATTACATAATGGAGGCAGCAAAATTAGCTCTTCTTGCAGCAAGTAGTGCCATGAAATAGCTATGATTATGTCCTCTAATGTGTGTTCGGTCATCTTCACCTCATGTTTTTCCCCCATTTCAGCTGTATTCATCAGCAAGCTTGTTTCATCACCCTAAAAGTTTATGATGCTAAAGCCATCAGTATAAATAAACACTGGTTATAGGAAAAACAAACCACAGACACACATACAGAAAATAATACATCAGTTCTTAGCAATATGCCGTTTACTCTGTTAAGAAAAAAATCTTACTTATACCTTTCCAATCTCTTTATATATTTGTTTGAGACAAATTTTAGTTTCAGTTATATCCTCCTTTTATCTATGTATATAAGCATAGATGAAGCCAAACATTCTAATGTAACTAAACCTTAGTTTCAAGAATTAGACTATTTCTTATTCTGAGAGTGTAATTGTCAGTGTTTGCAAACATGAAAAAGAGAAGCATAATCCACTCTTAGGTGGAAGAAGACTCTTAGGTGGAATAAGAGTTTATTATGCATAAGCAAAGAATAGAACACACAATAGAAGCAGAACACAGACATTAAAGCAGGGAATGAAGATGCTCAACATCAGACTTATGGCTTGTTCTGGCTCAGTGCCAAAGCCAAGCACATCTCTGGGATAAAGGATTACCGTTCTGATTGGTGGTATCTCAGCCAAGCCCAAACACCCCGTCCCTGTTACTTCACTTATGAAGTAACAGGGAGGGAATTTTGGCCCTTGCCTTCTTGTTCCCATGGCATTCCTGCCAACTAGATTAATACTAATCACACTAATCACCCATCTCCAGAAAAGGACAAAAGCCTATCTCACAGCCATAAATATGCCACTCCTACACCAGAGCACAGAGTGCTGTCCTCTGAAGATGCCGGCCACAGAGGCTGGCGAAACGTCAGGAAGAACAACCTTCAGAACACGGCCTAAGAGCCCGAAAAACCCACAACAACCATTAGATCTCGACCGTGAAAGCCTTCACGAATACAAAGATCAAGACAACAGCAATGAGAATATCTAGTTATTTGTTTCACAGATATGCATGACTGTATCCGCAAGGAAGTAAAAAAAAAGACACCAACCACTAGGATGTAATCTAGTCAATATGTAAGAACAAAACAAAACTCAAAAACTATTACCTGGACTTCCCAAATAACGATTAGCAATGGCAAATGGTAAATCCCACTCAGCAAAACAGGCCAGAGTAGGTTCCTAGGCCTCCTATACTTTCAGTGAAGCCAGTTCCTGCCAGGTACTAAAATACATTTGACAATTTGGGTCTTGAAATCTTGTGATTGCAGAGATCAAATGACCAAAGCTGGGCACTTATTGGCTCAGTTCCGGATGCACTCTCCAGAGCCACAGCAGTCATACCTTCACACCCTATCAAGGAAAGCAGTTGTGGTCCTATATCCACTCACAGAAGGTAAGTCTTAATGAGCTTAATGTATCTTACTCCTAGTAAACATGTACAGAATTCTACTCCAAGTGAGTGAAAAATATCAGCTGATATTTATTCTGAACACCAGTTGGAGTTGCAGCTGTATTCAAACTGAGTTCAATCTGATAGTGGCACATGGCATCCGCTAAATATAATGTCTTACAGTTGTGTGGTTTCTTTTCTTCCTTTTTCTTTTAAAGGTCTTTATTTCCTCTGCATATTTCAAAACAGAAAAGAATTCTGCTGCTTGTAAGTACAGGATTCATAGAGTTCCAAGTTACATATGAGCTGAAGAGCATTCTGGCCACTTGTCATATGCAGTATAGTAGAATAGCAGAATAGTAGTACATTGAATAAAGACAAAAGGAGCTATTGCTCTACTGGGCCCAAAGATTGAAATGAAAAGGAGAATGTTGTTATAATTAAGTACAAGCTAAAATGTTTTCTGCAAAATCATTGGTCTAATATGTCAGATAAATTACAACATTGAAGGGATTGGAGACAAGTCTACTATTTTATGCTCTCTTCCCCCAGAGTCCTTCCCTGTCTACCATTCCTGCCCAAGGTTCCTGCTAAGCCAGGTGTATATGTGCATGAGTGTGCAACAGCATCTCCGCCTCCCTGCAAGCAGCTGTCTTCCTCCTCTGCACAGCAATCGTGTTAGGTTCCAGTTGCGATGGAACCCAGTGCACAGGGGGTGGAGTAACGTGCACACACATGCAGGGGTGAAGTTGCACGCAAGAGAGGCACAGCCCCACCCAGTAAAGCTGAAAATTAGAGGGTACGTTTTTCCTGTCCATCATCACATATTTACCAGTCTCAACTATGGTTTCTCTATACAACAAGCAGGTTATGTAATGAGAGTTTGAAATTCATTTGGAGGGTGTTAGTATCTTAATCCCCTTCTCCTAAGAAGCATACTACCTGATTTTGTGTGTGTGTGTGTGTGTGTGTG